GGAAAACAATCTGCAAGACGTGGGGAATCTTTCCACGGATTTTGTGGGGCTTGATTTACGTAATGATAGCTCTGGTTTTTTTGCCAATCGTTAATCACGGTATTTGATGTCATGCAGGCCTTGGTAAGGCTTTGCATCACTCAACGTTATAAATTCGAAGTTCTTATTCTTCATCATTTTAAATCTTAGAAACCTATTTTTGCTCCTCTGCTCTAGGTTCCACAGGTTTTTGCTATACTGCGGTTGATTCAGACTTGGCAAGTGATCAGACAATTACTCAGTTAGTCCTTTACCCTTGTTACTTGGTAATAGACTACTTTACATAATAAGAATCTTCTGAATCGGCGAAGGTTTTGTCTATATTTATTTCAAATTTCAGGCGTTTTGATAGTTATCATTGGCCCTTTAGCTGACTTCGGGCTTCTCAGAGAGAAGGAGGAACATCAGTGACAAAAAGTCGGGATTGGGGACAGAATAATGAATCACAGACGTAAAAGAGACAGACAAAGGTAGAGAAAAAGGTGAGATGAGTATTGTGGAAGGGGTGGAATATTACATACAGTGGGGTCATGGTAGTTTGAAGTCAGAAGTCAACTGCCTGTTTCTAAACTTCTTTGACGTATGAGTATACGTGGAGCAGGGTGCATCACGTGGAGGTAAGTCTATCGCACACCCCGGTTTTGTCTATATAAAATTCACTTAAATATTGGTCGGGTTATGATACCAACAGCTGATTTAATCGTCCTGTCTACTGTATATCGATTTCCGTTAGGAGGACTAATCGAATATTTTTGTTACACCGAAGAGAATCTCTCAATTTTGATCTTCCCTCCTCGTCTTTTATTCTCATTCTCACACCTGGTGATCTGAAACCAACTGTGGAGACACGTCGTCACAATTATTGACTAACGAGGTAGCCAATCATATGTCACCTATTCCAGTCTCTATAATTAAATGCTTATTGTTGTTAACAGAAACTCTTCTTCGAGTCTGAGTAACTGTAGTTTTAAAAATAGTTACTGAGAAGTAAGTAAGATTTCATTTCCTGTTTGTTTTTTGTTTTAACCTGAATTTCAATGCTTACGAACTGTGCTGTTCATTTGTGCATCCTACTCCCTCCCCTTGATTAGTTACCTGTACAATAGCGAATAAGTACAAATTTTGGCTCGAATCTTTGTAATTAGAATATAATGCAATTGAATATGCACCTATATTTATACTGGTATAAAGGTTCAATTGATGTTAATAAATTACGGTTGTTTTATTTTTCGTCTTGAAGGGTGTGCGATAGACTTACCTCCACGTGGTGCACCCTGCTCCACTTATACTCATACGCCAAAGAAGTCTATAAACAGGCAGTTGACTTCTGACTTCAAACTACTATGACCCCACTGTATGTCATATTCGACTACTTTCACAGTACTCACCTCACCTTTGTTCTACCTTTGTGTCTGTTTAAACTACTATGACCCCACTGTATGTCATATTCGACTACTTTCACAGTACTCACCTCATCTTTTTTCTACTTTTGTCTGTCTCTTTAACATTTTTGAAACACTTCTGTCCCCCCCTCCCCTCTCTACTTTTTTTCACTTTGATCTTCCTTCCCTCTGTGAAGCCTGAAGTCAACCAAAGGACTAATGATAACTATCAAAACGCCTGCCATTTGATATAAATAAATTTTTCGTCTTGCTAATATGGAGTATCACGTGTTTTTAGTTACGATTTCGAAATTCAGAATGTTGTTAACTTCTTTTATCCAAATTCAAAATAAATAATTTCTTTCCTCAAATAAGAAAGGCTTTTTCAAACTTCAATCTATCTGTTGGAGGTCCTTATATTCTCTAGTATGAAATAGCATTCATTAGTTCTGTTTATAAGTTGCCAATAAAAGTTCATATTAAAATACACTTTTGTTTAGGGGGATTTGTAGCTATCAGTAATAGAAGAGTGATAATTTAAATATTTTGGTCTCCTAAAAAATATTTCTCTGGAGTTTAATCAGTGATCTGTGCTTTTTTGTCCTTGTAGACTTTTTGGGGGGTTTGAAATGTCTTCTCGTGCTATGTTCTCTTGAGCGTTGAGTAAGAGGTGAGTTGCATTGCATATTGGGCTATTATTGTGCATCGTATAATCGCTTTAAACTCCCTTGATAATATAAAAAAGCACTTACCTAACAAAATTATAGCTTTAAGAAGTGGCATCCATCTCATACTCGTAATTACAGGTTGGTTAGTTGTTGAGCTAGTGATTTGTGGTTTTCCTTTGAACTCTTTGTACTTGAGGCAAATTTGCAAAATTTTGGGTATTACAAGTGTATTACAGTCGATAGATAAACATGTTCATCTTACACATTACGCGAAAAAATCAATAATACTTGAAATCAAGAGTGGCAGTGTATGGGATATTATTCATTCGACATTGATTATCTATTTCATAGCCACCACTCAAAGCATCCAAGATAAAGAATCATGTTTTGCTTCACAAGCTCCTGATAAACTCTTTTCCAAGAAGGAAATATTTATATTCTCCCTCTTGCTTCAGTGGCTAAGATTTCCACATCGTTTTGACAGAACCTTTGTTCGATCAAGTAGACTAAAATTACATTTTTCGGGTGCTAGACATGGAGAAAAGGTAGTGGTTAAAATGAAACTATATTGACTTGTTTTTCCTCCACGTGCTAAAGGTGCTCACACACATCGAACTCAATTTAGAAGTGTCAGCACCCCTACATTCATATACGCGACACTAATGAGAATGAATGATGAAAGGATCGCAACTGAATCTTAGAAGGGAATAATACGTGTATCATCAACGTAATGAGATTTTAGTCACTTCTCAATATTACTCAACACTGTGAAAAGGATTCCACATGAATTGGAACATTGTAATGGTGAATACTAGGTTGGTGGGACTAGAAAGCACCAACGTAACTGACCATTTGATCTGATTTGTGCTGCCACAGCAAGTCTTCTTGAAAGTCTGCTGAAAACCAAAATGCTTTTGTACCCTGGCATCAGAATTCGTTTGAGGTCACCACAACTAATCGAGATCTTCGAGCTCTACAAGGAAGATCGCAAGTGTCATGGAGGTCAACTTTTTAAAGAAGAGACCCCTCGAAAATGATCTGACAAACGCAAAGGCATGTTTGAGCAATGAGAAACATCATGCTGAAAATTACACGAATTGATTCTTGTGTGTTGATGAAAAATTGAACCGAGTGGAACGCACAACATGTAGGATGAGAGATGTGTTGGCCTGCACCCGGGGCGGAGGGGGTGTGGGTTGAGTCCAGAGTACACTCGTAGAGTCGTGTTGCCTTATTTATTTCAAACGGTAGGAGTTTTGATTGTTGTCATTAGCCCTGTAACTGACATTTTGCTTCACAGAGGGGAGGAGGAACATCAAAGTGAGAAAGGATTGAGAGGGGAAGGAGAAGAGCGATTCAAAAATGTAAAAGAGACATAGACACAAAGGCAGAGAAAAGGTAAGATGAGTACTGTGGAAGTGGTCGAATATGACATGTAGTGTGAGGTCATGGTAGTTTGAAGTCAGAAGTCAACAGCCTGTTTATAGACTTCTTTGGCGTATGAGTATATGTCGAGCAGTGTGCACCACGTGGAGGTAAGTCTATCGCACACCCCAGTCGTGGAGACTAAATTTGGCCAGACTGCCATGGTTATGTAATGTAGTTAAACCGTAGATAAGGAAGGAGGGTAGCTAATATTGGGGTCTGTGTATGGTGTTAGGAGGATTCAATCCACTGGCACACCTCAGTGGGAAGTGAAAAACAGTTGTGTGCCTATGTTTGGTCTCCGAATTCCACCTCACCAGACTTTACCTCGATGGACTGCCATGCATGTTTTTTGAAAAAGACACTAATCACCATATAAGTGTTTCAAAGCCTAATTGCTTGACTGACTTGAAGTTTCTGAGACCATTCCACACCGAAGCGTAAGATTAGCTTTGTCTGAATTCAGTCGAACCTGATTTGGCCTGGACTGTAGCCGATTTTATTTTGCAACCTTAGCTAATAATGTGACATTCATTAACAATGATATAATTTCCTTATTTTTGGGATTTCTTTAAAATGTATTCATCTCTGGAGCTACCGGCCGCTTTTTTCTTTTTACTGATGAGACTCCGTTTCATCTCCACTCCTCTGAGCAGCAAATATGACACTTAATAAAAAATTTTTTGCTCAAACAACTTTATTTTTGCTTTTATTTCAATGTTACTATCCCACGCGCTTGTTTTAAAAGACAAAATTCTCCTCTCTTGGACCGGAAAATGTACTTATATCAAATGACAGGCGTTTTGATGGTTATCATTAGCCCTTTAGTTGACCTCAGGCTTCACAAAAATTGGGGGGGGGGGGAACAGAGGAGTGTTTTAAAGATGCAAAAGAGACAGACACAAAGGTAGATGAAAGGTGAGATGAGTACTCTTAAGTGGTCAAATATGACATACAGTGGGGTCATGGTAGTTTGAACTCTGAAGTCAACTGCCTGTTTATAGACTTCTTTGGCGTATGAGTATAAGTGGAGCAGGGTGCACCACGTTGAGATAAGTCTATCGCACACCCCGCAGGTCGAAAATAGTTATTTGCTCTGATATGCTTTTCTAATCTTACAATCTACGAGCAATGAAGTGAATTAATAAGCCAATTACTATTTTTTGATTTATTAAAGTAGTATAAAGGCTTGAGTGGTCTAATGTCCACTGTAAGTGCAACTATTTCAAATAAGATTAGATTGAAATTATGCAATTCTCCCTCTTCACCCATTTTACTCATGGCAATTGTGGCTGATAACCTTTCTTTTAGTTTGAATCCTCGACATGAAGCGATCTCCTCTATTTCATCTTTAACGCTTTATCTTCTAGAGCCTTCGTACTGTTCAACAATTGATTCTAAAGCAATGGGCTCCACGTGCTATCAAAGGCTCAGATCTTTTGAACGACTGCTTGAGTAATCGACGCTTTCTATCTACGGGTTTCCCACAGTAAGTATTTTGGTTGTTGCACTTTAAGTATTCTTTACTAGTCGCAACCAGTCCACATAATTGAACCCTTTTTTTAACAGTCAATCATCTGATTTCATCTTAACCAGACTTTCTAACATTCTAATTATTTTGACTAGCCCAGCGTTCTATTCTCTCTTATTTGGTAACTTCGGATCATCTCTGGTTCCAGTAAGTATAAGGCAGTGGTGTGTTGTTCAATGTGGTTTGCTTTGATTTACGCCACACCCTGTTTCTCCAAACGCACATGACTTGTGCGGACTGCGTGGCATTATCATCATCATCATCCTCATCCTCTGCGTTAAAAGTGCAAAGTAATTTTCTGTGCTTTTGAAACTCAAATAATGAACGACTCTTCTTGGGATGATATTTGACTTTCTTAGCCAAGGGAGCTTCAAGTCCTCTTTATTAAATAGCGTTACCCTGATCTTTTACTTTATTGGTCGTTTGAATTACATTGGAGTAATTTTTACATGCATGGGAGCGGGAACACGGAAAGTGTTAAGAGAAACCGAAATTGTCTTTCATCATGTGGACCTACCTTTTGGTTTACTTAAGGCCAACAATTTTGGCAGTCAATCTTTTTGGATATTCGTTGTTAACCGAATAATTTTGTAACGCCAATTTTTTTCCATAACCTTTTGAGAGTCTGGAGTTGGTTACTGGGGCCAATCCTACTGTCCATAGTGTCAAGTCTATTATTAAAAATAACGTAAAATCTGAATCAACTAAGTCGTTTTGGCAGGTAATGAATGATCATCAAAATATTATCTTCATCTTGTGTTTTACGTGTTAATTAGTAACTTTTCAAGCCTCTTGAACTCTTGGATTGGTTACAATGTATCGTTTATTTAATTTTAAAAATAAGCGCTTGAGGAATTGTCAGCGTCAACTGAATTTTCAGATGTTGGAGTTTGTTACTGCCATTCCTCGCTGCTATCGATGTTTATAATAATTGTTCGCCAAGACTTTTACGCAATTTGGCTTAACCACGATGGCTTTAAATAGGTGGAGTTAACAGTAAGATCGCGCTTTTTGATGGAATTGAAGTAGTCAGTCAACACTCAGAGCTAAATATGAGTTGGACTAAGAGGTGCTCCCTTGGTTTTGAGACTTTCAAAATTTGGGCATTTGATGGGGATTTATGTGTTTGGGAGTCTATTTGTGATGGAAGCCATATCAAAATTTCACTGAAGGTCATCTTATTAATATAGGATATTTGCATCTCTGCTTACTCTTAATAGCACAAATAATGGTGAGATTTAATTTGTTCCAAATCAAAAGAATGCGTGCATCTGAAAGGGACTGAGTTTACACGATTAGGAGGCTATAGACGCTTTCCCAATTGCCTAGATATAATATATAGGCTATGGTTTGTTGTGAAATTGTTAGATAAATTAATTCCACGCACCATAACATCGCATTTCCATTGATTTTTTTGTGTGTGGAGTACGATGAGGAGGGTGGGGTAAACCGAGTAAAGTTCAATACACAAATGTACTTCTGGTCATATCACGCAACAAATAAGCAAATTCGAATCTGCTGCTCCTAAAGAAGTCCCGAATCCCATTAATTGTATTTCTACAATTTTTTTCAGACTAGATTCCTTTCTCAACGGTGGTCTGGTAACGGGTGAAATTGCGGAAATCTATGGCATCTCAGCAGTGGGAAAGACACAGGTAAGCTGCTCCCCCTCCAAATTGGCTTCACTCCTCTCTCTTATATTCAGGAGATATGATTGTCTTATCCATTCACTTTATTTAGACAATCCCCATCGTCAGCTTTGACTACAAAAGCCGGGCAATGTTTTACTTGTCTTGGTAAAGTACCATTTAGCGACAGGGTGCACTTGGAATTTGCTAATTACATTAGTCTAAATAAAATATCGGTATTACAATTGTAGTTATAAATGCACACTATGATAAAACCATTTATAAAAAACAGAAGCCGTATAAAAGTGGCTAATAGTATTTATTAGGACTAATTGGAAGTGTAAAGGCTCTAATTTTACCATCATTCTTCTTTCTAGGTATGATAATAAGCGAAAGCTTGATGGGAGATGGGATTTTAGCGCTATTGGTTGGGAAATATGTAATTGTAACGTTATGGGAACTACGTGCAAAGGTTGCGAGAAAGTACGTCTGACTGGATAGGATTTCGGTATATCATTCCAATTGCAACAATTGAGATGCATTTTGCAATGGAAAGTTGAGTTGGGGGGGGGGGGGGCATTCAATCACGCTCAAGTCTTTGTGCCTGAGACAGAAATTATTTTGCGGTCAGATATTACGCTTCACCTTAGTCATACATTTCACATATCAATTTTGGTTGAAAGAATGGAAAGCTTATATCTTTAACATCAACGTTCATCGATTTACAAATACCATATTTCAATGAACAAGTTAATTTTAAAAGCTCGTCTTGGATGAAGTGGTCACAGTACAAGAGTTGAATTGAATCACTGACATATTGGAACATGGAGGGGGAATTATAGAGGAATTCTGAGAGCTAAGTGTACATTTTGAAACACCCCGTGTAGACAATAAATTTAGAACAAAAATCAAGTTGATTTAACTTATTTTATGTGCCTCAAAGAGATAAGAGAGCAAAAGCATATTTTTTATTCGTATCCCGTGGCGAAACTTTTTCCGCCATTAGTAAAATTGATCATGGTATTTGGTGAAGGCCACTCATGTTGGTGGCTAATGGCTTCGACATCATTGATACGCAATGCCAGGCTTTATTTTTTTACCTTTAGATGTGCCACATTTCAACGGCTGCAACAGTTATTTCCTCAATCGCTTCGGAGTTGGGGGAACCTCCTCCCAACTCTCTGGAAGAAATTCGCGGTCCAACTGTTCTCTACCTTGATACCAAAGGTGAATTTGATCCAAAGAGACTGCGAAGCTTCATTCGATCCGCTTTAAAAAGGACTTATGAGCTGACTGAAGAGGTATGCGTTTGTTTTGCTTTTGTCTCTTAATTTTGTATTTAAATGGAAATGTTCAAGCTTCTAATTTAACTGGCAATGGCTGGTATATAGCTTTTGGATGCAGGAGTTTTGGGGTATATAATTTTAATGCAATTGACCTAAGAAATCTCATGCCCTCTCGAACATTCCTCTGACCCCATTAGGGCGCAAATGGCGTCACGAGTGAATAATCATGAGTCATTATAGAATCAGTGCACCAAACCTGTTTTTAATGACTAATCTCATGCGATCTGTTTCCCCTATTTAGTTGAGGTAACTTAGCTAACTTCGGTAACCTCACCATACTAGGCGAATTTGCCATAGATATTGTCAACTAAAAGTTAAGGCTTATTCATGTAGCAATCTGCTACAAGGTAAGTAACACAATGGTTTATGAATTATGCCCAATAAATAGTGAGTTATATTAATTTTTTTACAGACCATAATACCATTGGCCTTCCAGAACCGTTGATGAATAGTCCAAAGATTTATTTTAATTTGTTTAAAATTGACTTTATACAATATGAGCTAGATGGAAAAATTAGGCAAAGCCTTTCCTGTTGTGAATAGACATGTCTGTTCCTACCTATTTAGTAGATGCCAAATATTTTTTCCCATCTATCAATTAATTAAAATTGATACCTTATTCGAATAAGTAAATTAGTTAAATGCCTTTATTATTTTATCCTCAGTTACCTTCATTTTGCTTAACGTTTAAACAATATATACATAAATAGCTGCAAATCATCTTTTAGTCAGTTGAAGTATATTCGATGTGTTGAATATGCTATATCTGAATGGAATTGCTATTCGTTTCGTAGTAAATATAGACTAACCTGATTATGTAACCTATCATTGACCAAAAGCTCGTCCTAATTTGGTCAACCACAAAAGTAAACATTCGCAAACGTATAACCCTTATTTACGCAAATTATCTCTCAATGCTTACGCTTTACTCACCTATCAATATGAGTGATGTGATGGAGAGGTCAAGATAAGGTGCACCAAACGAAGCTGATTGATTTGCGTCTTCCGTTGATATGCTAATAAGCCATGCCAACTGACATTACAGTTCCGATAGCTGAGTCAGTATGTGTGCTTGATAAGAAACCTAAAATTATTTAAAATGGCTTGACGATATTAAACTTGTAATTGAGGCGCTTTAATGTCCCACTTATGGTAAATTTTATGTTTATAGGAATGTGGTTTACGAAAAATGACACAAATGAAAAATGTGAAAAACATCACCTAGCTTTATTCTTTTAGAATGGCCTAGATATTTACACCAACCATTGTCTATCTCGAGTGTATTATCGGTTAATACCGACTATTCAGAATCTGATGGATGCAATAGTTGAAACGCGTTTCTGCGTTGCATCTGCTGTTACGCAGGCATCTACTTCAAAAGGTGGCATTCAGTTAAATTCTATGGAATCCAAGTTCTACTCAAGTCTCCGGTTAGTCATCATCGACTGTATTACGGGACCATTTGCTCCCTTTTCTTCTGCTTTTCCTAACGAGAGTAAGTTATTTTTCATATTTGTTTACCATATTTATCTACTCAAATACCACTAGTTGTATCTTTCGTCCATTCAGACAATTTTCAACTGCAAGTGTTGTCCACTGAGTTACGACGACTTTCTTCGGATTTCCACATTGCTATACTTGTGTCAAATAACTGTCGTTATGGAAATGATACGTCTCGTGGTTGTCTGGGTGAATTCTGGTCCAATGTTCCTCGTCTCAAGCTTCATATGCTACCACATAATGAACCGCTACAAGCATCGGTTGAAATTACTCGGGATCTAAGGTTTTCCGATACAGAGGTAGATGAAAGCAGTGAAGACAAGCCAAACTCTTGTATAGTAAACTTTCGTGAAATTTTGAAAGAATAAATGAATTTGTATGCTGCCGAGATGATGGACTTATTATGCGCCTAATTAATTAAACGTTTCTGTTTAAATAATCGGGATTAATACCTCTACTTATATAATACACGCAAAATATGAGATTATATTGGTTGACTTGCATAGCAAATACAATTTCTCATTTTTATTTTAATCAATTGTATATCGTTACTGTCAAGTGCCTAGGTAAAAATTAGTGGCACAAGGAAAAATTTAACTCCCACAACTATAGAGGAAAAGGTGCACCGTAGGGGAAAATAACTTCCCATAATTATTACTTACAACTCTCTTAAAAGTGGACTCAATATTTGATTTCGGTGTAAACATTAACCATTATATTTAAAACCGTAGAGCTTAAGCAAAACTTACTAAATTTGTTTCAGTTGTAACGAGACATTTCGGCATAAGTATTATTCTAATATCAAAAGTGTAAAAAGCCCATTAAAAAAAATAAAATTTATTAAGCCATGAATAATCAATAAAATATCGGTGGCAATGAAGCAGATGGAAGTTTTACCATGCCTAAAAGTTAAATCATAATAGATTGCGCTGTTCAAATGTCAAGGACAATTTGTGTTCGGCGCGCCTCTTTCATCAAATAACACATGTCTGAATACTGCTATTTATTCGTTTATTCCATTTTTAAACTCATACACTGAATTATCACATTTACTCTAATCTATGAGCATGCATAACAGTGCTCAAGCTGATCCTTTAGTTGGCCAACATAGGCCAGCTAAAGTACACTCCAATTTATTTATGAATGATACTGGTGGGAAAATATCATTTACAAGGAAGGCCGATGTAAGTTTGATAATTATACATTAATTGTGCTTAGTACATTGGATCCTTTCTTGTTACTGGTAGTGCACATTTCGAGAGAGCCGATATTGTCCGCCAGAAATTAGAGGCTGCTCGCGTATGTTATAATTATTGTTAACAATTTGCATTTGCTTAGAATTTGTACTTGATATTAGATTTTTGTCCAGTTTATGTATTTATTACGAATTATACTTTTCTTTAATGCTTGTGACTGACATTTGGCTATTTACTTTCATTTGATTTACATCTGAGCTTACACAATGTTGAGGTAATTGATTTTTTTCTAGGGTTATACTCAAAGCAAACCGATATTGTTGGTTATATCTCTTCATGGAATCAAAGTTTGCGATTCTACGGGAACCGTAAGCTTAGTCTTTCCTTTGTCTTTTTTTATTGTTTAGCTTCTATTTTTCTCCTTCTTGACTAATTTATGTTCTGCATTTTGCATTCCTTTTTTACTTACCTACCGCGATTGCTCAATTTCTCTAAATTTGTTAGCCAACTTTAATATTTAACTTAATGCTTCTTTCTCATCCAGAAGGATTCTAAATGGAGTCATTCTAGTAAAGAAACACATATATTTTAATACTTCCTTAGTTCGATCAGACTATTTATTAAATTTTATCTCATTTTTATTTGTGCAGTTAACAACGGTTGAAGCATCTTAGTATTTTGAAAAGAACTCGTCGCAATTGTATAAACGTAAGCATGCTGGGTAATTAAACGGACAATTTGATGTGGCTAGGTATTGTGTTTGAGTAATATGGCGTTAACATTTATTTATTTATATCAAATGGCAGGCATTTTGATAGTTATCATTAGCCCTGAAGCTGTCTTCGGGGCTTCACAGAGAGGAGAAGGAACATCAATGTGAAAAAAGTCGAGAGGAGGAACAGAAGAGTGATTCACAGATGTAAAAGAGACAGGCAGACACAAACGCATAAAAAGGTAAGATGAGTACTTTGGAAGGGGTCGAATAATACAAATAGTCGGGCCATGGTAGTTTGAAGTCAGAAGTCAATTGCCGATCAATAGATTTTTTTGCGTATAAGTATACGTTGCCCAGGGTAAGTGTATTACACACCCCTTATGGGGTTAGCATTAATGAAGCCTGATTTGTAGTGATGTCTTATAATCATTTTATGTAAAAAATATATTTTCGTCGTTTAGAATGTCCACATGGCACACGCCTTGAGACGTATCTCCTATGCAACCTGTGATCCTGAATGCTGCCAATTTGCCTTTCTCGCCAGAGAACCCAAAGCCCAACCCAATGTACAATACTGCCATGCTTTTGTGACCAAGACTTCTGAAGAGGTGGGTTTACTTCTTTTTGGGCATCTTTTAATTTCGCACGATTTACGCAAATGAATAATATCGATCCATAATTAATCGGTTAATATTCGACTATTAAACATTTATTGCTTTTAAAAGAATGATAGGTAGTACGGGTTTTGAGGCATTTTGACCATCACTTGGCTTCATTTTATTTAAGTTACTCATGTTGTACGATGTGGGTGATAAGTGTCCATTCACGATTTATAGTTCGTAAAGTTGCTAAGGTAAAATCTTTTATTGCTAAGCAAATTTTTGATTTTCTATAATTCCTTTTATAAGGCCAATTATCCTAGTTTATATCATGGATTATTCTATTTTCATGAAGTCCAATCTGATTTAGATCTTCTGATTTCCTTGTCTGTGTGGAATATTAGGAGCTCTCAAATCAATGAATTTGAATGCACTTACTTAAAGCATTACGCACTGTTACAATGCTCAAAATTTCCTCATAGATCGGTCACTCTTATGACCATTTTTGTCTTCTAGTTCCGCTTTGCATTTCTAATCGAGTCCTTAGCCGTTCGACATGAAGTGAAAGAGTTTGTATGACCGTTCCTCGTTGGTAAATGCGATTGGTGCGAGAGCAGCACCAAACAGGAGTTCGTACGGTTGACAATTTATAATTTTCCTTTTGCATCATATTTGTATCATACGTATAGGGGAAAAAATTCAAATTTACTTCCCCTGAGGAAATCAGCTATCCTTTGTGTGTTTTCCCATGATACATCCCAGTCTGTGCCCGGCTCTCGCACATTTATTTTCTCAGGTTTCAACAACATCATAGGTGGACCGCTCTTATATATCCACCACTATAGTTGATTCTCTTAATTCGTATAGTTTATTTTCTCTCGTTTTTTATTCAAAGTTATCCATTGTAGCCTTTGTCGATAGTTGTGATCTTTAGAGGACCATCACCTTTGCTAATAATGTGTTAAAAAATTGATACATTGATCCTCTCGCATCACTGAATCTCTCTTTTATTCCGTTCTAGTAGTCATTAGTGACTAGTAGACTATTAGCTCGCAGTCAAACCGTTTATATTTCCTCAATTCGAATAAATATATGTGCTTCTATATCCATCTGTCTTATCGTAGCGGTTTTTGACGAAGTTGCTGTTCTTTCTGTTGTTATCGTATTTGTTTTATTCAGTCTCCATATTCTGTCTCGTCTAACGTCGTTTCCTTTTTCATTAAGCGGAGCATTCAATATATGGTGCTACTTATGTGTTTCGGATTTGTTATTATTTTCTGTAGGTATTAGGATTTTTCTTGAAGTTAGAAATTAGACTTGACATTACAGCTTCAAATGTTTTTGCACTCCTGAAAAATATGTGAACATTATTCATAACACCATCTTTGCCAGAGTCCTCAGGCTCAATCACTATTTCTCTAGCTGATAAATAGCTCTGCAACAGTTAATCCTAACTTCAATAGTCATTAATTCGACCTCTGTTAGTGGTTCTTTTCGCAATTCATCTTCTGTCCCTGCTATTTTTTTTCTTTTTTCTGTCTATTCTATGCACGCACCCACGAGTGCACGTGTGGACGCTCGTTCTCGCGCTATGCCCGATTGTGACTTATTCACAGAGAGGTGGGGCGAGGGGGGGGGTGTGGGCGGCGCATCCAGTGTCTGCTCGTGAATGACTGTGCCATTAGGTAGCAGGCAAGCAGAGAATGGTTATATTGAGGACAGCTGTAGAAACGTGGTGGATGCTTCTTCTGTGGTGCTTCGGAAGAAACACGTGGGGCCATAACACAATGCTATGAGGCGATTCTGCTGGAGCGTTCTTCAGTAAGCTAATAATATGAGGGGGTTCGAAATTTAAGTGTTCGGTTCTGCTCTAGTAGATAGCAGCAGCAGCAGCAGAAATTTTCTGTGCTTTGTACAGACCATTTCATGCTTATGGGGATTTTATTTGAAATGATGTTATATTTTTTATACTTTGGACGAAACGATTTTATTGCTTCGCAATCAATATTATTCCATTTCTGTTCACCAAGTATAAAGCTCTTCTCCTTAGCATCGAGACTTTGCAATGAGATTAGGCCCATGCTAAGTAACAAAAGACGGAGCAATACCGCTCGTGTCTTCTAAGTTTTATTTATTTTCTGTTAATGAAAGAAGCTAGTCCGTTCAGCATTCGTTTAAGTGATCTATTCTTTTTTTGTCAAAAAGATAATTTTAAATTATCGAAAAGGTTTAGATCAGACAGCCAATTGTTATACCAAAGTATTATGATTCTGGGAAGAGAGATTTGCACATCAGTGGCCATAGTGCTTGATTTCTTTTATTCCATGTTAGTTGAGAGCTTTGTTTAAAGGCTTAGTTTCTATCCTTATGGTCTTTCTGTCCGCTAAATGTTACTGGGCTTCAATAAGATAGGAATGTGATACTTCAAGGCACACTCAGTAAACTGTCCTATTGTCGAGGTTTGATAGAAGGCCTTCTGTCCAGTAGTTGCCTTGTTGCTTATGTGTAGGGATGATGAAAGATTTAGTGAATCTATAGAAATTGCTCATCCGAGAGAATAACAACAATGCCGTACCGTGAGCTGTATTTAGATTGCGGTTTAGACATATTTTGAGTAAATGTTTTATTATCGGCTAGTCAGTGCAAAATTCCAATTGAAAATATGAATTCAACTTTGCCGTGCTTTCCTGAGTATGGAGCTCTTAATTAACTAATTTTATATTCGAATGTGGCTGGTAATTCCAAAATATTAATCCAGTCTGATTTGCATCGTGAATAAAATTACAATGTGTCATTAATACCACACAGATTACTAGATATTATCCTTACTCTAGTTTACTTGTTCCCTTCTTCAGGCT